TGGTCGAGCCAACAAAACTTGCTGGCAAATTGGCTGTAGGGATGAGAAAATAGAGAAAATAAAGATCACTTGTAGGTTTTGGACTTGGGAAACCGCATGGATGGTGGTGGCAAGTATGTGTGTGGAAGAGTCGGGGAGAAAGTGGTGAAGTGGTTGGCAGGTGGGAATCAAGAATTGTTGGACTCTTAGGATTGAGATGCCTAGTAAATACCCAGTTTAATAAGTCAGTAGGCACATGATACTTGTCTGATGTCAGGAAGGAATCCTGTTTAGAGAATAAATTTCAGTTGGTGTACAAAGCTGTTTATTTAATGCCAAGGGATTAGGCAAGATCATGAAAGAGAATGTGGATAGAAATTCACAGAAGGCTCACAAACCAAGCCTGCGATTCTTCTACAAAACACAGAGCTCTAACAGAGAAGGAACCAGCAAGGACAGGGAGTAGGAAAGACAGGTGAGTTAGGAAGCAAAGCAGTAGATTGAGCATCACAAAACACAAAGGAGTAGAGGGATGGTGAGCTAAGAAGATCAGGGAATTGTGGACATGGAAATGACCATGGGAATAATTAAGTAGAGGTGGGGGAAGGGGACGGTTGGGGGAATCAGCAATGGGGCAGAGAAAGAAGCTGGTAGCCAGAGAGACATGTGGGTAGGAAGAGGATTTTTAAAAGATAGAAGATAATGGAGCATGTTTGCAGGCCGAAGGGAGTGATAAGTTAAAAGGGGAAAGACTGATGAAACAGAAAAGAGGAGATAACTATAGGAGTCAAGTCCTTGGAGAGGTGAGTGGGTGGGAGACAGAGCAAAGAGGACGTGTTTGCCTTTCGTAGGCACAGGGACATTTCATCCTTTGTGGCTACAGGCAGGTGGAAAGATCTGCCAGATGTAGACAGATGTGGGAAGATCCACACCCAGCGTGTGCCATCTCCCAAGGCCTGTCCCCTTCCCAGCTTCCATGTGACTGAGGCAGATAGGTGCTCAGTAAAGCGAGTAAGCAGTGAGTGAGTAAATGCATGAATGAGGGGCAAGATGAGAGGGCAAACTCACTGTGTTTTCCACCTCCCTTGTCCTTTAGAGCTTGCAGTGCTTGGCATTAGGCAGGGTGGGATTAAGGCACTGGCGAGTAAATGCATGGATGAGGGGCAAGATGAGAGGGCAAACTCACTGTGTTTTCCACCTCCCTCCCTTGTCCTTTAGAGCTTGCAGTGCTTGGCATTAGGCAGGGTGGGATTAAGGCACTGGGGCCTTGCCAATGAAAAATTGGCTTCTTCCAAGGGAATGCTGAAATCAGGGAGATCTGGGGTACCCCAGCAGTAAATGGGGCAGTTTGCATTGTGGGATACAAGAGAGAGCCCTGGTTTAGGAGCCAGGGGCCCAAGTTCTAGTTCAGGCTCTGATTGATGGGTGGCCTTGTACAAATGTCTTTCCCTCTCTAGGTAGTCGTTTCTTCATTCATTAAGTGGATGGTTAGATTAGATCACTACTATATTTAATTTTTCTTTTTTTTTCCCCCTTGCCTGTTTTCTTCTTTCCTCCCTTCCTTCTTTTACACGTATTTTTTGCCTGATCTGTGTAGAACTTACTGTGCTCATTACTGTGAACGTCTCTCCTGTCGCTGAATCCCTAGACAAGGAGAGGATCCAGCAGGCTTCCTTTGCTTCAGGCTCCTCCTCACTTCCACTCCTCCTGTGCAAATGCCTACTTCTTGGCAAGGAAGCAGCCCCCTTCACCCCAACCCAGGCCTTAAGATTGGTTGGATGACTGATTCGAGCTTCCACTGAGCTTTATTTTAGCACCTGTTTGATGGGAAAATAATAAAAGCTGACATTTATTGAGTGCCTCTTATATTCCAAGCATGGTGCTAAATGTTTAACATGTATTATCTCATGTAATCCTCACTAAACCCCATGAGAGAGGGACAATAATGCGCCCCATTTTACAGATGAGGAAACCAAGGTTGATAAAGGTTAAGTGACTTGTCCAAAGTTACACAGCCAAGAAGTGGGGAATAGGAATTTGACTCCAGGCAGGTCAGCTCCAGAGCCAGGGGGCTTCAATCTTCCCCTTCAGAGAGTCTGGGAAAGAGACTAGGAGCCACAGAAGGCACTTAGCTCACAATCACAGATGAGTTTCTAAAAGAACATTCATTGGGGTTGGCAGGAACCTGGCTTTGTAAATAAAATCGTCTCATAAGTGTGTGAAGAGATTATCTGGAATTTAGATTCAAGAGCCCTAGGGTCAAATGCCCCACCATTTGCCAGCAGTGTGATTTGAGGCAAACTGCTTAATCTTGCTCCACTCCAATTTCTCTTCTATAAATTGGCAGTGTGGATGGGTCCTTCACAGGATGGTGTGAGAATACAGGGGCATGATGTGTGGGAAAGTGCTTTGCAAACTCTAAGTCCATACCAGGCACCCGTGGTAGTTGTGGGGGTCAGCTTGACTTTGTCGTTGTTATGTAAAGGAATTCTTAGGTAATTTCTTTGGTGAATACCTCCTTTGGGAAAACCTAGACTCCATTTCTACAAGGAGATGATCTGATTTACCTATGTAAATTCATTTACTGAGTTTGCTTAAAGTAGTGGACTCAGGATGGGACAACAAACTCCTCAGAGAAGTCCCAGGACACAGTTTCCCCAAGAGGCCGGTGCCCTCCAGCGTCCTCCCTCCCCTTCTACCCTTAATCTTCAGCACCTCCTGCTCCGCACACACACACCCTCAACAAACTCATACCTAGGGAGGCCAAAAAGTTCACATATACCGATTCCCTCTTTGACCGATAACTCCCAGCCCCTGCCGTGGGTCCTTCCCAGGAAGGCCCTTCTGTGAAGGTCTGAGCAGCGGCAGAAACAGCAGCTAGAACCCAGGCCTTAGAGTCACAGCTTCCAGGTTCCAGCAAACCCTCTGGTTGTGTGAGCCTCTGCAGATCCCAGAGCCTCAGTTTCTTCAGCTAGAAAAAAAAGATAATAAGATCTACCTCCTGGGGTTCCTTTGAGAACTGCGTAGGGTCAGGGCAGTGCCTCCAGTACCTGGGNTGAGTAAATGCATGAATGAGGGGCAAGATGAGAGGGCAAACTCACTGTGTTTTCCACCTCCCTTGTCCTTTAGAGCTTGCAGTGCTTGGCATTAGGCAGGGTGGGATTAAGGCACTGGGGCCTTGCCAATGAAAAATTGGCTTCTTCCAAGGGAATGCTGAAATCAGGGAGATCTGGGGTACCCCAGCAGTAAATGGGGCAGTTTGCATTGTGGGATACAAGAGAGAGCCCTGGTTTAGGAGCCAGGGGCCCAAGTTCTAGTTCAGGCTCTGATTGATGGGTGGCCTTGTACAAATGTCTTTCCCTCTCTAGGTAGTCGTTTCTTCATTCATTAAGTGGATGGTTAGATTAGATCACTACTATATTTAATTTTTCTTTTTTTTTCCCCCTTGCCTGTTTTCTTCTTTCCTCCCTTCCTTCTTTTACACGTATTTTTTGCCTGATCTGTGTAGAACTTACTGTGCTCATTACTGTGAACGTCTCTCCTGTCGCTGAATCCCTAGACAAGGAGAGGATCCAGCAGGCTTCCTTTGCTTCAGGCTCCTCCTCACTTCCACTCCTCCTGTGCAAATGCCTACTTCTTGGCAAGGAAGCAGCCCCCCTCACCCCAACCCAGGCTTTAAGATTGGTTGGATGACTGATTCGAGCTTCCACTGAGCTTTATTTTAGCACCTGTTTGATGGGAAAATAATAAAAGCTGACATTTATTGAGTGCCTCTTATATTCCAAGCATGGTGCTAAATGTTTAACATGTATTATCTCATGTAATCCTCACTAAACCCCATGAGAGAGGGACAATAATGCGCCCCATTTTACAGATGAGGAAACCAAGGTTGATAAAGGTTAAGTGACTTGTCCAAAGTTACACAGCCAAGAAGTGGGGAATAGGAATTTGACTCCAGGCAGGTCAGCTCCAGAGCCAGGGGGCTTCAATCTTCCCCTTCAGAGAGTCTGGGAAAGAGACTAGGAGCCACAGAAGGCACTTAGCTCACAATCACAGATGAGTTTCTAAAAGAACATTCATTGGGGTTGGCAGGAACCTGGCTTTGTAAATAAAATCGTCTCATAAGTGTGTGAAGAGATTATCTGGAATTTAGATTCAAGAGCCCTAGGGTCAAATGCCCCACCATTTGCCAGCAGTGTGATTTGAGGCAAACTGCTTAATCTTGCTCCACTCCAATTTCTCTTCTATAAATTGGCAGTGTGGATGGGTCCTTCACAGGATGGTGTGAGAATACAGGGGCATGATGTGTGGGAAAGTGCTTTGCAAACTCTAAGTCCATACCAGGCACCCGTGGTAGTTGTGGGGGTCAGCTTGACTTTGTCGTTGTTATGTAAAGGAATTCTTAGGTAATTTCTTTGGTGAATACCTCCTTTGGGAAAACCTAGACTCCATTTCTACAAGGAGATGATCTGATTTACCTATGTAAATTCATTTACTGAGTTTGCTTAAAGTAGTGGACTCAGGATGGGACAACAAACTCCTCAGAGAAGTCCCAGGACACAGTTTCCCCAAGAGGCCGGTGCCCTCCAGCGTCCTCCCTCCCCTTCTACCCTTAATCTTCAGCACCTCCTGCTCCGCACACACACACCCTCAACAAACTCATACCTAGGGAGGCCAAAAAGTTCACATATACCGATTCCCTCTTTGACCGATAACTCCCAGCCCCTGCCGTGGGTCCTTCCCAGGAAGGCCCTTCTGTGAAGGTCTGAGCAGCGGCAGAAACAGCAGCTAGAACCCAGGCCTTAGAGTCACAGCTTCCAGGTTCCAGCAAACCCTCTGGTTGTGTGAGCCTCTGCAGATCCCAGAGCCTCAGTTTCTTCAGCTAGAAAAAAAAGATAATAAGATCTACCTCCTGGGGTTCCTTTGAGAACTGCGTGGGGTCAGGGCAGTGCCTCCAGTACCTGGAGAAAAAGGCACTGCCCAAAATGAGCCAGAGAGGGATGCCAGAAGGGCCTTCTGAGCTCTGCTGTCCCTGTGCTGGCTCCACCTGCCCCTTCTTCCCCAGGATCTCCCACTGCCAGCTCTGCAAACCCTTTTCCCCCTCTCAGCCCCACACTGGTGCCGGTGCTGGTGCCAGTGCCAGTGCCGGTGCCAGTGCCAGTGCTGCCTACTCACAGGCCCTCCCCCTGTGCCTCCCGCAGGAAGCGAGTGCTCTGGCAGTGCCTACGGCCACACCCCCTATTCCTCCTACAGCGAGGCCTGGCGCTTCCCCAACTCCAGCTTGCTGAGTAAGTCCCTGGGGCCACCCAGGCCCTCTGCCGGGCAGAGTGGGGTGGTGTGGGGGGAGGGGGGAGAAGGCTGGGCCAAAAGTTGTCTGAAAGCAGGGAGGCCCAGGTTAGACAGAGGGTGAGGAAGGTAGCAGGGCCGTGTATCTGGTTGTCTGGTGGAGCAGGCAGAAGGCCAGAGACTTCCTGGCCCAGCTCTCTCTCCTGCTCCCCAAGGCCATGTTTATTAAATCTGTTTTGTGTAAGATTCAGGGTTCAGGCCTCCAGAAGAGGGCAAGAGTGGACTCAAGCAAAGCCTAAGAGAGCAGCAAACCCTGACCCAGGGGTGCCCTGCCAGAGGGCTGGCTGCTCTCCTTCCTGAGAGCTGATTTCAAGATGCCACCCTGTTGTCCCCATTAACCATCTCATGGCTCACAATGCTCACGATTCAACACCAAAAGCCTTATACAGAAATCCTTTGTTCCAACCGTGTCCCATCTTTGGCTTTGGGAAGTGGATGCATCCAGCGTTGCGGTCCAGAGAGTGAGCTTCAGTGGGCTGTGAGGCCGATCTTTACCGCCTCTTGCTCTGGGGTGGAGAAGCTGTTCAGGAAAGCAAGCCCCACCAATGGGGGACTTGGGGGATCCCACTAGCGCCTCCCCCAGCCTTGGGGATATCAGAGCAAACCTAAGCCACAGAGGAGCAGTGGTGGAAGCGTCATCGTGCAACCCGCAGACCCCCCTCCTCCCATTGCCTCCTGATGTTCCAGAAATGACTGGGAGGGTGGCTGACCTGGGCTGTATT